ACCACAAGAAGCTTAATCTCCTAGCAGCTCTTCATGAATTGAGGAATCCAATCCAACAAAGAGGAACTCTAGAGTTAACATTCCTTATTGTTTCAGAATATACTAATCATCTCGCTGTAGGCTTGCTTCCAAGTGGTAAACGTAATAAAACTGGTGCAAGGCTTTGGCCGAGTTCCTTATTTCATCAGCTAGAATGAGGTCATGGAGTAAGAAGGATTTGTCAACTTTTTTCATGTCAAGGACTATGGGACCGCCCCCCTTCATTGCAAAAATGTTACATGCCATAGAAAACTAGCTAAGGAAAGGAAACCAATTATATAAATCAAAGTGTTGGGCAATAGAGGACTTACTGATACTTTATGTTAAAATATAGAGATATACATTTTGACTTGCCAAGCAATAGATCTCTGGGAAACTACTGTATGTCTGATTCTCACGACAGCTGTAGCTGCGTAGAGTACGAATACTCTTCTTTTGTTTGTGTCCTGAGTGCTCCCATATCCTCCCACAACCCAAATTATACTGGTAGGTTGGATGACGAGTCTGATTCAACTCTGGTATGTAAGAATGGGCTCATATTCTGTACTATGGATTGTGGACTATGTCAGAGAGTATAAAACTGTGTGTGACTGCAATGAAGAGGGGCGGTCCCATAGTCCTTGACATGAAAAAAGTTGACAAATCCTTCTTACTCCATGACCTCATTCTAGCTGATGAAATAAGGAACTCGGCCAAAGCCTTGCACCAGTTTTATTACGTTTACCACTTGGAAGCAAGCCTACAGCGAGATGATTAGTATATTCTGAAACAATAAGGAACGTTAACTCTAGAGTTCCTCTTTGTTGGATTGGATTCTTCAATTCATGAAGAGCTGCTAGGAGATTGAGCTTCTTGTGGTTTGCATGAAGTCGACATCCAACTGAAGTTGGATCCATGTAGACAAATAATTAAGGAGATGAAATCAGGAGGGGACACTAAAAGAGCAGAGGCAGAACAGATGTGAGATGACTACAGTGCAATATAAAGCAGCCTCCATAATGCTTCAAGGTTACACAAGAGATTAGCCATAATGACATTCCTGGGGAAGGTGATCCAGAGTGGAGCTGAACATGACTTGCTGCAGGCACAGCCATCACCTCCACCAGCAGACTCCATGGAGAGGTCACGGCTCTTTGAAATCTGAAGCCACCAGGAGAGAGACAGGAAAATTCTTTTGGGGGAGAAAAAACTTAACTTACACATCATATCTGCAGGAAGTTCTCATATTGAGCAGTGATTACTCTAGTTTGTAGGGTTTTGAAGAGCTGATAAACCTAAACTACAACTTTATTCCAATTCAAAAACCATTCAAAACATTTTCCAGATGTAAAAGTTATACTGAAGCTGATGATAATTGAGAGAAAGTTGTGTTCCTGGGGCGAGATTTTCTTGCACAGAGGTTTCCTGTCCAGTAATCCTTCTCCATTGGGACTTTACTGCAGCCAGCCTCTGTAAGCCTAAAATGGCGGATAATGGAAAGGTAGGCTGCACTAAATCATCTCAGGCTCTGGGCAGATGTAAGAACTTTGTATAGCCAAATATGTTAGGAACTCTTCAACATAAATGTAACCTGGATGTTAGGTTTATAGTTCCTTCAAAGAGGAACTCCAGGAAAAAAACACAATGAATCCTTGCAGTGGGGCTATCCCCTCACTGCAAGGGTGAACTGCCCGTTTTGGTCTAGGGGCTGGATTAAAGAAGGGATTCTTACCCAATCCTCTATCCCACCTGGCTGCTAGACCGGTCCCCACAGCCTCTTCTGCCTAGGCTCTGGTGGTCTAAGCCTCCCTGACATCACATCTAATGCAGATCCATTCACCTGCATTAGACGTGAACATGCTGAGGAGCGGAGGGGAAAACCATAGCCGGAGCGGGGGTGGGAAAGAGGTGAGTGCTCTAGGCCGCAGGACCAAGGGGATCAGGTGAGCATATCATCGTTCCTCTGGTCCCTAGACCTAAACAAGCAGTGCGGGGGTAACCCATCTGCAAGAGTTAATTTTGGTACTAGCCAGAGTTCCTCTTTAAAGCCTAACTCTGGGCAAAACACAGTTAGTGCAGTTAAGTTCTATAGTGCATTGGAGGTAAACTGACCTCCTTCCCCCTCCCAAAACTTCAGTAAACCTGCGGGTGGAAGCCCAACTCCTGCTGAACTCCAGTGCCTGCTCATAGTGACTGTGGTCACATTTCTGTCCTCTTCCCCTGGCCATCAAACAATGAAGCCTGGGGCTGTTTGTGATTGGCGATGAGGAGTATACCGAAGATTTGAGGGAAGAATAAGGAAAATCAAACCTTGGGAGGTCACTTCAGCAAAGGCACTATACAGCTTACTTACCTGCTGTAAATGTATTGTGCCCAGGTCGGGCTTTAAATACAGAGACACCATGGCACAAAAATGGGTTTGGTTGTTGCTGCACACACTTATATTTTGCCTTCCTTGGTTCTTCCTTTCTGTGTCATAAACATGCTAATGAAAACATGAAATATCTTATTACATTTTTTTAGACCCTTTGACATCATTACTGGGTCTCTGTGCTTCTCTTTGCAACGCAGGCAAATAATAATTGGTGGGAGGGGCTGGCAGGGTGCACATAGCTTCCTGAAAGCAGGAAGCTATGGTAATGCCTACATGTGATACTGAGCCTCTGAAAGAACTGAAATCTAATGAATGAATGTAAGGGGTGGGCCAGGGACAGTCAGACTGGGAGAAAAGAGCTAGATGATGCTGTACATCCTCCAGCCAATTTGACTTGCTGCAGCTTTGAATGAACACTGTTTACAGCATACAGTGAAATTAGCGTAAGCAATTTCAGTACAGGAGAGGAGCCTGTACAACTGCGGAAGACATAAAGTTGGGTTGGAGTTCTCCTCCCTTAAGACCTCTACCGGTGCCCTACATTTTCATTGTAGCATTTCTATAACCAGAGTAGTTCTGGGACATATCTGCCCTTATTATGCAGTAAAATGGGGATTGCATCAATGTCTAAACCATCCATCAGGTCTGTACGGGGAGTGTACCTAGCAGGGGTTACCTTTGGGTTATGGCACTTCACACCATATTATTTTCTTTCCTTTGAACCCAACTGTAATTAATCAAAGACTTGTTTTTTATCCTATAATACTGTTATATCAATTTGGATCAGCGATCAGTTGCAGAGTCCAAAGCTTTCAGAAAAAACTCAAGCCAAAACCTTTTTTCTGGGCGGAGTAGGGAAGAATGAAAACCTCTGTCGGGTTTTTATTGCTGTCTCTCTCCCTTTGGGCAGTAACCGAAAGTGATGGGAAATCCAAATTATCCAGCTATTACCAGACAAGGAGGTGAGGGAATATCTTCCAATGGGCGCCTTTGTTCTGAGGCTCACTTTTTGGGAGATTTCCACTGACTTCATGTCCTGTCTTTGGAACAGGAAGTGAAGAATAAATCTCTCTGATAGTGACACACAGAAGTAAAAACCTGACAGAGGATCTATCCTCTCCCTACTCAATCCAAAAATGAAAGCAATAACGTTTTAGCAGGCGTTACTTCTTTAACCATGCATATTGTGTTGGAATTTGAAGTTCCCAGCAGCCACAGTGGTCTTGTTGACCGTTGTTGAACAGTGAGAGGAGAAAACTTCAGAATATTTGAGTAAAAAGCCACAAAAGGTCACAACACAGACTACAATAGGCAAAGCCCATGCACCTCATCACAGATAGCACTACAAGCTGAAACACAGTCATTTCTGGATTAAGTATTACTATTTAAATGAGCAAATGAATAGAAAATATATTCAATGTGCAGAAACAACATTATGTTATTACAATCAAAGTGATGGAAAAAAACCTAAATACTGGAAATGAAAAAATTATAGAAAAGTCAGACATATTTTTGTCCCCTAAATTCTAGACATAATAGCGTCATCCCCTGGTTCACGCCCGAGATGATCCTGGTCCTTTACCTCCCAGTAGAGACAGCATTGTACACTGAACCCACCCATTCCATGCTACAGATGACATGCAAACCATTTATACGAACATATTTAACAACAGGCTACAAACAGCAATGGTATTCTGCTCTCCCGCAGCGCCCATAGTTTACCTTTCTTCAGTGTGGCACAATCAGAAAAGAAAATGATTTCTGATTGACTGTTCTCACTTACAGCCCTTTGCATTCCAATCATTGGCTTAGTAATCAAAGCCACAGCGGTTTTAATTTGTGACCTTTGTTGCAATTGTTACTTAGCAGCAGCAGAAACTGATGTTGCAGAAATGACAAATAAAGTAAAGGAAGTAACAGAAGCAAATAAGGAATCTGCTACATATAAAACCGACATATGGATTCTGTGATCTAAAACATATACCTCATAGCTAAGCAGGACAGAAATAAAGTAGTGTAATCGGAGTGAAGTCGCAGAGAGGCCCACGAGAGGGGAATGTTCTGATGTGGTGGACCACAAAGGAAGGAATATCTCCGCCAATCATGTCATAATGAATAGTAATTTATTGATAACACCAATCACCAATGTACTGCAATGAACACAGCTGCACACATCAGCATTATGCAGAACTGCTGAAAGCTATTCCAGAGTTGGCCTATAGGTGGTGCAATATGCTAGTTTCACAGTAGAAGTAATAAAAGGGAAAAAAAAAAAGTTTAAAAACTTTGTTAACTGGCTGCAAGACAATCTAAAATTACATATCAGAAAGTGTTCACAGGGCAGGGTATGAAGAACTGCAGAGGTGAAGCGGGGAAAAGTTGTTGAAAGTTCTGCCAAAGGGGTGCAGTATACAAAACAAGGCTGTATTAAATGCTATGCCCTTACATGGGCCTCCTATCAAATGAGACCCAGGGGAAAATAAACTGCTAAAACTTTTGCACAGCTAGAATCACTTGACTGCTCAGATTTGAGGCTTGGCAAATGCGGTCAGCGCTTAAAGCAAATTTAGAAAGTAGCTGGAAGTTTTCTTTTTGATAGTCTCCTTACCTGCATGACACTGGGAACATATAAAGCTTAGAGCTACAAGAAGGGACAGGTCTCTCCTCCAACTTCTCCGTTTCCACCTCGTATGGGTATCCATGCTCATTACCTCCTCTGCTGTGGGGGGCCAATTCTTTAAGGTTCAGGGGTCCTCAGCGCAAATCTTGGAATGACAAAAAGTTGCAAAAATAAAGGGCATAAACCCTTGCAGGG